AAGAAGTAATTTTATCGAAATACAATTTTTTTTTCTTTTCGAAATCCGAATAGAAAGGGTACAGGTTGTATTCGAATGTACGTTTTCTATTCGAGGAACTCTGCTATTCGAGAAAAGTGGACCCGCACCGTTTCAATTTCGAAAAAGGACTGCTGCCTCCTCGGCCTCCTACACGCAGCTACCGGTCCTACGAGGTCCTGGCCCTTGCAAGGCCCCAAAACCTCAAAATGACAGCGGGGCAGGACGGGGCGGGGTAGGGCGGGCCTTCACGAAGATCGAGGCAGTATCAAGCGGCGTGAAAGCAGCAGGTGGTCGTGAAAAGTGAGGGAATACTCAAAGGACTTTTTCGACTCCGTTTTGGCGGTATTTCGGGTCAGATACATCCGTCGGGATTCAAAATTTGCGGCCAGATGTGTCCATGAAAGTGTTGGTGATGAGTTCGCCCGAAAGTCCCCCTTTGGAGGTGGGGTGGCGGGACATATGTTTTCGATCTAGTAGGGACAAACGAAACAAAGCCAACAAAACAGATCAGCTACGTTCCCGTCATGTCGACATCGAGCGTACCAGAAATGAAGGTGGAGCGGGAGGAGCGCTACACCCGGCGCTATGCACTCTGTCGTGCGTTACCGGGTTGCGACGCAACCCTACGGTCTACCGAGACGCTACCATCGAGATAGTGCCTCGGAATCTCCGACGTCTTCCCCGTGCACACGGTGCGAAGCGGCGAAGGTAGTGGAATACCCACTGTCCATAGCCGAGTCCTCGGGTTGACCGCCAAACACTTGCCACGTAATAGTATAGAGGTTTGTATCAACGACGGGGAGCAGTGGTCGTGAATAGGCCAATTGAAGTTTTGGAAGTATTGAAGAGCCCTAGAGACAGGAATAGGTGAAGCAGAAGCATGGAGGAGGGGAATGAAGGAGGTGGAAACAAGATGAATGGGAGATCTCCGCCACCAGGACCAATGGAAGAACAACCTCACTGTGAGGCCACCAGGACCAATGGAAGAACAACCTCACTGTGAGGATGAAGACCGTATCCGCGTGCTGCTAGCCCTTTGTTACGATGACGGGGTGTACCCCACGGACCTAGACCCAGGAGAAATGACAACAGAGGGGAGGGAAGTAACGTTCACGCTGAATACATCGCTCGACACTATCAAGGTGAGATGGTTGAAGGAAATAACCGTGTCAGTTATCTTCAAAGATAACGCACGATTCCTTCCAAGGAAAGTCAAAGATGATACCATCAGAGCTTTTGAGAACGGTTGGATAATCGGGACCGAGCGGTTTGCTGCGAAATCAAGGAGGGGCAGAGTTAAGATTGAAGGCCCTAACGCCTTATCGTATGTGGCAAAGTCAAGACAAGTGGCGGAGTTTATGATAAAAGAGGGAGGAGTGGACATTCCATTAGGAACAAAGATATATAAGGTGTTATTTAAGCCTTGGATGACAAGAGCGGAGTTTAGAGACCTGAGGCGACAGGAATACGAAAGAACCTTTTGGGTGGTGGCAGTGCAGATTCCATTAGATGACATGCCCTTCATATACGCACAAGTGGAGAAGGCGATCGGCCGGATTATTCAAGCATATCCACCGGATGCGGATCCGCAGAGACCAGCACTGGTGAACACAAAGTTTGACATTGATCCTGAAGCGAGAGGGAACATGAAAGACAAGATATGCATCAAGACATCGACGGAGGACCTGATAGAAGTCAAGTTGGCGTGCTCAACAACGACGAAGTGCCGTGGTGCAGACAATTCTTTCAGGAAGAAGCGGACTGTAGAAGAAACTACAGTCAACAGAATGGAGAAGGAGGGAACGCCAACCAATCAAATCAGCAAAATCCAACACAGTCGGGGACAAGAGGAGGACAAGCGAGACCAGGAAGATCACAATACCAAGGACCCCTCAGTCCACAATCATTACTTAGCCAGTTGAGCGATGGAGGAGGTAACCGGGGATACCAAAGGGTAAGCGTCAACCCGGCCTTTTCACCAAGGGTGAACCCGATCCCAGGAGGCCTAGGAGGCTATCCGGATTGGACGATGTCTGGGTCAGGCCTGCCATTTAACCTCGGAGGTGGTCCCCAGTATGGAGGAGGAATCTTGGAGGTGGAAGCTACAGAATGATGGGAGGAGGAATTTTCGGTAACTACGGAAACGGTAGAGGCCTCGGGAGTTACGGAAATGGAGGAGGAATGGAAAGTTACGGGATTGTCGGCGGACTTGGAAATAATGGGAGCGGAATAGGGGCGTGTGGAATCGGATCCGGTCACCTTGCCCAAGGTATTTCGGCTTTCCCGCAGTATCAAGCACAGCAGGTCATCTCCCAGGCGGGAGGTCAAGACGGCGGAGGAAGACACTCCACAGGAACGCAGCAAGGAACAGGGTTGGGGAACAGTTTTCACACGCCCCCAACTACACCAAGATCAGGGAATGGCGCAGCGTGGACCAGGACAGGTCATGACGGTTCTGTAGCGGAGGACCCAGTTCCAACACCGCCAAGAGGAGGTTCGGAAGGACAGTCAAGGGGACGCTCGTTGGGTAAGCAGAGATGCTTGAGCATGAGTTCGGTTAAAGAACTTCGCACCAAAGCATCCGGTGACTCCGAAGCACAGTCAGAAGTGGCACATATGCCGTCAGCTACACTGGGCACGAAAACCACAAGGGATAGGAGAATGGCTTCAATGACTAGGGGACAGTCGACAGGAATGGAACAGATAGTGATACCTCTTGCGTGCACGTTCGCGAGGAACAACCTCTGGGCAATTCTGTGGCAGGCAGGTAATCACAATCTCACTATCCTTTCACAACCAACAACAGAAGTACCAACTCCAGAGTCCATTTTACACAGTGCCAGAACCTTGTTCTTCGATTACTTTCCCATGAGAGTGGTACCAGAGAGCCCGATGGCGAGATTAGTGGTAGATGTATCTGGAGTGAAAGTGAAACTGTTTGTACCTCTTGTAGACGCCAGTATCCAGCCCGATAATCTAATTAATTTAGAAAGGTTGGGATTACGACTGGTCCCATGGTTTGCAGAGGGAAGGAAACAGGAGTTGTGCAAAATTGCACTAGCACCGTGTTTAAATGCGGAATGCTTGACGGACCTGAAGACCAGACTCCCAAGAGAGAGGAGGCTCGACTCACAGTTTATAAGGGATGCACTTACAAGACTATGGGTCGAAGGAAGTACCACGGAACCAAGGGATGATCAAACAGCGTCATGTTCACATATCCAATCAAGACATGGTCACCTAACGAGTAAACAAGTAAAGTGAGGATTGCAACGTGGAACATTTGTGGGCTCGGGGACACAACAGGGAGGGACAAAAAGGGTAGACTTAAGAGTTGGATACACGAGAAACGTACCTCGATAATGTGTCTGCAAGAAACGAAACTAAATGAAGAAAAGATCAAGAACCTGGGCGACAGGTGGGACGGACCGCAGGTCTGGTCCCCTACGCAAGGCACGAAAGGAGGGGTAGCGATCCTTATACACAGGAACCTTAATGTTGAGATTATCGACCACTATAGTGATCTATGGGGACGCTGGGTATGGGTTAAGGTGGGAAGTGGGCAAACAGACTGGGTCATCGCCACTGTGTATGCTCTGATAGTTAGGAAGGAAAGGAAAGTTTTCATGGAAAATCTCCCCTACATGTTACCAGACGTAGATAACCTCGTCATAACAAGAGACTAGAACCAGACCCTAGATGAGAACAGGGATAGAGGTAAGCGCGACTCTACAGGCGCTATACTACCTATCATGGACTTTATGGTCGATTTTCACTTGCACGATCCCTTTCGGGTAATGCACCCGATAGACAGAGGTTATACGTGGTATTCTCATCAAGGGAAAGGCAGAAGGTTGGATTATTTCCTAGTCAATGAGGGGTTAAACAATACAGTTCAGAGGGTGGACCTACTTATCACCCCTTGTCGGATCACAACCCGGTTGGGATTGATCTGAGAATTGAGGAGGAGACAACATATGGAGCAGGCTACTTCTGACTGAACTCTTAGCACCTCTTGAACCCTCAGGTGAGAGACTGGGTCACAACCGTCTGGGATCGGTGGACTAGGATAAAAGAGCAATTTGATTCGGTAGCAGACTGGTGGGAAGCATATTCGAGGATAGTATCCAAATTGTTAAGTGTCTACTCAAGGATTCTGGCGATATAGTACCACAAAGAGGAAAGGAAGTGTATTAAAAGGATAGCATATGCAGAAGAGAGGATGAAAGCTCACCCAATCTCGGAGCTAGTCTGGGGAAAGGAAAGGAAAAGGAGACTAGAAGAGTGGGACAAACTTCAACTAGAGAACTCAGACAGATTGGTGGAGAGGTTGAAGGTGAAAGGAATGATGGTATATAATAGAATGACAAAGGAATCATTCCAGACGTTACTGCCCGGAAGACAGTCACAACCATTAAAGGAACTGCCTCACCCGTTCTGCGACTCGGAATCGACAACCACACGCCCGGAAGAACTCTGTAACTACGCGGCTACTTATTACCAGGATATCTTGACCTTGAGGAGGTCACAAGAAGGAGCAGACACCAACTTAGCACTCAACAACAATCATTGGTCAAATTTCAGGAAGAAACTACCAACCTACGGAAGACTAGATCTTGATAGGTCAGTGACCTTAGAAGAAGTTAAGGTGACCCTGAACACAATGGCAAAAGGGAAGGCCCCAGGAGATGACGGTTTACCGGTAGAATTTTTTCAAACGTTTTTGTTTTCTGTAGGGGAAACTCTGGTGGAAATTTATAACGAAGTTTTGGTAGGGGGGAAACTTCCCCACAGCGGTCACAATGGCATCATTTCCATCCTGTATAAGAAAGGAAATAGGGACGACATCCGTAACTGACGCCCAATTTCCCTTCTTAATGTAGTGTATAAAATCCTCGCCAAAATTCTGGCCAGACGGCTGGTCCGGTATCTACCTGACTTGATCTTGGAAGACCAGGCAGCGTTCGTCAAAGGACGCTCTATCCTGGACAATATTGTCACAGTGATAGAGACGATGAAACTGATACAAGAACTTGAAGAAAACATAGATTTTGCGGTCTTGTTATTAGATATGGAAAAGGCGTATGACCGAGTGAACTGGCCATACGTCCTGACCACTTTACGCTGGCTAGACTTCGGAAAAAATTTCTGTCGTTGGGTTGTAGTGCTGTACTCCTTCTCTACAGCGGCAGTTATGGTACACGGTCACTTCCCAAGAACGTTCCCCCTGTCTCGTTCTCTCCGACAAGGGTGCCCTTTGGTGCCGCTACTGTTTGTAGTACAGTTGGAAACAATTTTATGCAACATTCATAGCAACGCAACAATAGTAGGACTCCCCATCCGAGGACATGACTGTCGGGTCAAGGCGCTATCATATGACTTATTTGCAGTAGCAGAAAATACAGAGGACTCGTTGCGCGCACTAAGGTCATGCTTGAAAGAATACGAAGAACTGTCGGAGGCGGCCATAAATTGGTCGAAGTCTGCTTTCCTACTTCCTAACACATTTGACCTCAAAGTGGAGTGGGGTATGAAGCGCATCCCAGATCATCAATCAGAGAGGTTTCAAATCGAGCCAGAAGAAATCGTTAGAGCACTAACTCGCTGCTGGATACAATTGCTCCTTATGCCATCCCAACGTCTGGCAGCCATCATGTAGTTGTTGTTCATCCTAGCAACTCCATCGGTGGTTTGGCTGGCAAACCGGGGTCTGAAGATAGATACAACATGTGTCAGATGTCAATGGGCGTATGAATCCACAATACACCTGTGGTGGGATTGCCCTGCGTCAACCCGCATATGGAAGTGGTGGGCTAATTACTGGAACTCCATCTCAGACGGTAGTTTACAGTGGGACCGACAATGGGTGCTCTTGGGAGGAGTACCGAAAGGATTATGGTTAGAACGAGGGTGGGGTTATGTAGCACAAGTCATTCGGTCGCTCATGATCTGGGTCATATGGCACGGAAGGAATAAGAGAATCTTTAAGGGAGAGGACATGGCGGATCAAGAAATGAAATATACTCTGAAGGCTACAATGCGCCGCACTATTGAGGCAGACTGGAGACGTAAAGTAAGTAGGAGTCGGTCAAAAATCCAGGGGAGAGCCTGGTTCATGCAAACTTGGGCCTTAGGAGAAAAATTGGTTAAAATTGAAAATGGGGTAATACTGCAATTTTCCACATGGCTAACTAGTTATAACAACCAGGGCACTCGGTTGCTATATCCGCAGTAGGAGGCACTAGGGGATGCGAGGGGAGGAGAGGGCCATGGTGGGTATGGATCCGTAGTGATCCACTCCGTCGAGTATAGACGAAGATAGTAGCATATAGGCTAGAAGGAATAGAAAAGGGACCGCATCTAGAATAGGGATATATTCCCCCTTTCAGAATATTATTTTCTGTTTTCTTTTTTGTAGTGTTCTGTTTTGAAGACTTTGTTTCCCTTTGAAATTTGTTGGAGAGATACCAAGTGTTGTTGGGGTAAGGCCCACGATCAGAAACTGGGTTAGAGTCCCAGTACCGAGACAAGTTTTTTTTTTTTTTTCAAAAGGAGGCGACGGTCTTGAGATATCATCATCATTGAGCTGACCAGCCCCAGGCAATTTCAGAAATATTGTCTACCGTGTGGGCGCGGGGAACACAACCCTAAGGTAGCCAAATCAATGAGACTAAGAGCTAACACGAGAGAGAGAGAGAGAGAGAGAGAGAGAGAGAGAGAGAGAGAGAGAGAGAGAGAGAGAGAAAGAGTGTTTTGTTTCATTTGTTG